AAGAGTAGGAGTCGGAGTAGGAGTAGCAGTAGTATCAGTAGTAGTAGTAGTAGTAGTAGTAGTAGTAGCACTAACAGTAACAGCAATAGCAGTGCAAGAGCAGCAGTAGTCATAGTAATAGTAGTAGTAGTAGTAGTAGTAGTAGTAGTAGTAGTGGTAGTAGTAGTAATAGTAGTAGTAGTAGTAGTAATAATAATAATAGTAGTAGTAGTAGAAGCAGTAGTAGTAGCAATAGTAGTAATAGTAGTAGCAGTAGTAGCAATAGTAGTAGTTGTAGTAGTAGTTGTTGTAGTAGTAATAGTAGTAGTAGTAGTAGTAGTAGTAGTAGTAGTAAAAGATTAGTAGTAGATTAGTAGTAGATTAGTAGTAGTAGTAGTAGTAGTAGTAGTAGTCGTAGTTGTAGTCGTAGTCGTAGTCGTAGTAGAAGTAGTAGGTAGTAGTAGTAGTAGTAGTAGTAGTAGTAGTAGTAGTAGTAGCAGGAGTAGTAGTAGTAGTAGTAGTAGTAGTCGTAGTTGTAGTTGTAGTGGTAGTCGTAGTCGTAGTCGTAGTCGTAGTCGTAGAAGTAGTAGTAGTAGTAGTAGTAGTAGTAGTCGTAGTAGTAGTAGTAGTAGTAGCAGTAGTAGTAGTCGTGGTCGTAGTAGTACTAGTCGTCGTCCTGATGGTAGTGGCAGTAGGTCGTGGTGGTCGCAGCAGCAGCAGGAGCAGCAGTAGAAATTGTCCTTAGTCGTAGTAAGTATGTCGTAGCAGTAGCAGTAGAAACACTGCTGGTGTTATGTAGTACCACATCCAAAAATGATACCTCTCCTGCTGCTGCTCTCATGACGACGACGACGACGACGACGGCTTCTGCTGCTGCTGATAAATAATTCATTCTACCACTTCTTCTTTTTCGAGTCAACTATTCTCCCTCTCGTTTGCAGGTATTTTTTTTTCGATCTCCAGATATCTCCGGGCCAGGCACTGGATTTGGCTCGCCACAGACTCAGCCTCGTCTGGCTTCTGCGCGGAGCCCTCGATGCCCTTGCAGAGTCGTGATTTCAGCGCTCACAACTCGGCGCAGCATGCGAGGTGACGATTTCGGGTTCGACGACAAGGTGCCGTGTTGCGGCACGGAACGGCAGGTATCAGGTATCACGGCACGTCTTCAGGAATGAATGCAGCTCAAAGGGAACATTCACTGCAACTACTCACCGCCAATCGCATTCATAAAAACATTAGCGTAACCAAAATGAATGATTAGGACCTTAGGGATGCATCCTCCATGGTACCCTACGATAACAATTTATGCGCATATTCTACCCCAAGTTACGGGATCAAAGTAAGGCCCTCCGAACCACCTATGCTGCTCTTCAGACCTCAGAGCTTCCAGCGCACTTTCAGCACCATCGACGGATGTGGCTTGTGGGTCGTTACGCTTTATTGTATTCTATGATAAATGTTTGGCGTTCACACATCTCAGTGGTGGTCTGAGAGCATCAGGAGCTTCTCGTCAGCTTCACCCTTGACCCGATCCGGAACGTTTCTGCTTCGATCCTTTCATCAACAGGCTCAGCAAGCACCTTATACGTAATTTCAGGTATGTTCCTGAATTAAGGATCCGTGTTCATCCGCAAGATGCCTACTTGCCTGCTCAGCAGCGGATAGCAGCTGGTTGCCGTCTTCCCCCTTCTACCGGACTCGGGCCTCCAGCCAACTTTGGAGCTTGCTGAGCCTGGGTCTTTGCAGATTGGGCAACATTAAAACAACGTCCATGGGGCGACTGACACAGTATAAAAAATTGGTAATACTACTGGTACTCATAGTATTAAAAAGAAATAAGAGGTAGGAGAAATAACTCCCCAGTCGGCCAATCTCAACAAGTTCTGGGCCCAGGGCTTGTCGTTGGCACTCTCCAGGGTATCGGAGTACTGCTTCTTCACCTCTTACACTTGTTCTTCTCCCGGATGGAACCCAAACAAGTGGCTGATTTTGCCGCCCGTTCGACCCCACTGCTCTTCCCCAGTCCTGCTGATACTCGGAGAGCGCTTGCTTTTGCGCCTGCCACACACTCAGGAATCTTGAGGACCTGCCTCAAGGCAGGCCCAGCAATCGGGTGGACTATTGAGCAGTAGAGGGCGGTCTGCGCATCCTTTGTGCGCGGGGAGGCAACTGAGGATGTGGCCAAGACTTACGACAGTTCTGTTGAGGAGTTGAGGAGCGCTCGGTCAAAAACTTAGCGAGAGGAGAGAACACCACTTAATACGACAAGAAACACGTGGCATCACATGATAATGCAGGTACTTACACTTTAATTATAATTGAAGCACGATGGTGATGCCGCTTGTCATGACGATCATGACGCTCATGAGAGACTCTCGCAAGCTTAGCATACCATGCAACGGACCTTTCTTGTAGTGTCTTTACATCTGCTCATACTTGCGAAGACTTGAAGCGCCTGTTGCCTTGCTCCTGCCAAGGTCCAGGTCCATGGTTAAACTTACACCTGACTCTGGATGATTTTGACACATACCATCGGAAGAAGCGTCCATGTGGTCGTCTGTTTCTGGCCTCAGTCAATGGCTTCGGCGTTGTCGATTGTGCGGCAACCGACACGACCAGCCTAGGTTCGTCCAAGGGCCAAGTTGGGCATAAATAAAAGGACGATTGCTTGATGTCCCTGCTGAAAAGCATAGAATCTCAATCAGGCCATGTTGGCTTCTTGTGATGTGCAAGCTAAAACGCACGGGCGTGATCTTCAGCACATTTCAAAACTCATTGGATCTAGACCAGTGCGGCATAGTGCGGCGCAGTCACAAGAATGCCACGCCCAACACCATGTCTGCGTCGGGACGAAGGCTGCGGAATGCGCCACGGCAGCTAAACGTGCTTGAGACGAAGCGGAGGTGCAGCAACACTCCAAAAAAAAGAACTGCATGTGCAGTGGTTGCAGGGCGCAAGCAGCTAGTTCAGGGTGCCTTTTGGTCAACAAAACCAACAAATTTTGGCTGCGACGGGTACTGCCAAGGACATGCATCGAGGCAGAGTTGTGGCAGACTTAAGCCTTCTACAGTATCAGCCCGGCGATCTCTCCCTGTGATGTATTTTCGCATGTCACATGAGCAGATAAATGGATGGCAAAGCTTGGCTCCCTGCGTCCACCCACGGAGGCATTTGCCGACAAACGGTCAACGACTCGAAGCATGCCTTCAATGTGGTGCTGCGCATGCATGTTGGTAAATCTTCATCTGGGCCAGGACAACTGCATGTGCGCATATGCTCATTCTCGTCGGCTGTGTCTGCCGGCCTTCTGCAACATTCTCCACGTAGTTGGCATCGATTTTCGGCGGGTGTGCATCTTGGTCGCCTGAGAAATACTTCAAAACGCCAATTGCTTTCGCATCTTAGCGCAAGGATACTGTGAGGGTGTAAAGCTGCACATCTAGCGGGAGTCGCTCTCTGGTTGCTCCTTGTTGTCGACCTTAGAGCAAAACTCATCTTCGACATCCCAAAAGTGTCTGGACGAGGCTTCATCAAGCATCTACATTGGTATTTGCTAGTTGCTGATCACCGACACCTCTGGACAAGGGTATCTAGGCCATCAACCAACGACCGGACTAAGGGGCTGGCTACCTGGCCCTGTCTGACCACTTTGCATGTATGTAAGTATGCATGCATGCCTGTAAGTGTGCGTATCTATATATATATATATGTACTGTATGTGTGCACATGCCAAGAAAAGTTCAGGTGCAGAGAGACATAAGTATTTAGCACAATACGCTTCAGCTTCAACATATGCATGCCTAATTACAGCTCTTTACAGCTGCTGCGTAATTACATGTTTGATGTGCGCTTCTGATGGTCGGGTCCTTCACGCAGGCATACACAACGCACGCTCAGCTTCGACATTCAACAATCTGAAATCATGTACATACTATTCGGACAAAATTGCCAACTGCTTGATGAATTGCAGGCCGGCCGCTGATGTCTAGGGACAACCGGAACGGCAGCCGCCGATTCCAGTATTGGTCGTCGTTATCCCCATAGACCTTGCAGCATCTGAGTGCCATTACAGATTGAATGGGTTCGGCGAGTCGCACTGCTCTGGCAGTGCGAACGTGGCAGACAAGTGGGATGTTCTGAACTAGATTTCCCTACTTCTTACATGAAACATTGCCGGCCTCGCTGGAACCATTACTGTTTCAAGCGGCGCAACTTGGAACCCACTTTTATGCTGCTTGAGCACCGACGGTGGTTTCAGCTCTCACTTTGCGTCCTCAAGAGCATGTGGACTGCCGACAACTTCCCGGTTGAGGCAGGCCAGTGCGATTGTTCCTAGTCTAAAAGTGACTGCGTATGGCTTCTAGCACGCCTCACAATGGCAGCGGGGCTGTGCAGTACAGAGCTGAACGCACTGCCGAATCAAGCTGAACGACGCAGGTGCACAGTAGTAGCAGCAGGGTTAGCAGAGTGACAACGACCAAACGGCCAGGGATCCGGCGCCGCCGATTCGGATGCTAACCGTTCGCATTCCACTCTCTGAGTGCTTCTGCAGAATAAACCTGAGCAAGCACACATGCATTAAGAGTATGGTTCGATCACTCTAAGCAAGAGATGTTTTAGGGGAGACAAACGGGGGAAGCTGCCGATCAAGCAAAAAAAGGGCACAATGCAATAGTCCATGACGGTGCATGGAGCCATTTAGCAAAGGCTCTGCTCTGTCATGGCTTTGGAGAGGTCGTAGGGCGAGCGCAAGGACGTCAGGGGCGGGCTCGCTGCCGGATCTGATTCTGCCTTGATGACAGCCGGCACAGATGTTGTGCGCATGATGAATCGGCAGTACCGATAGCGGAGCGCAGAGTCTGAAGCTGAGCAGTCGGCCACGTTGTGATGTGGCACCCAGTGGTTGCAGGCTGCAAAAGATGAGACCTGGTTCAGGCGCGAAGAACCATCAACTCTGTAAGATCACGCCCGGGAAGCTTCGGACCTGGTCGCTTCCTACCCGTGCTCAGAGCCCCAAAGCCTTGGGCATGCAGCACCTGTGCAGCACATTGAAGCTGCACCTATAATGATGCTTCAGTGCTTCTGAACAAGTCTAGACGGTGGTGATGTGACATGCGGAGTGCTCTTGGCCGAGGGGCATAGAGCAGGCTTCGGACGTTGTGCCGCTCGGCCATGTTCACGAGATCCGCGAGACCAGCGAGGTTGATCTGAGAGATTGGGGTGCAGACAGGTGCGCGGGTCAGTAAGTAAGCCTTGGGACTGTGAGGATCTCGAGTGTAGAGTTAGGGAAGCCCTGTCTGTGCGATAAACATCCTAGGTATACATCCAATCACTACCGTAGAATCGAGTCTGCGCATATCTAACAACTAGCAATCCGAAGGTCCGCACGTCTGGGGGCAAGCGATCTGCCATGCCAAAGCGCCAGCGAGGCACTTCCATGAAGGTCTGGTAGGACGGTCCCAGCAGTGGTGGCTTGACAGCAATCACCATTTCCTGCACTGCATACCTCAAGGCACCACGCGAAGCGAGCAGCAACCCCGAGAATTTATCAGGCGTGTATCCTTACGAGGCTCTCGGATGAATGCTTGTCACAGTTGGAAGAAGGACAAAACACGTCACATGTTGTCAAAAGAGGCTGATAGCACAATCATCGATGATATGGTCTGAACGGCATCAATGTGGTTCTGATCCATTAAATCCATTGGTTTCGACCCTCACGCTCGCACAAGGCAGGCAAGACCTACTTCACGACGAACCGTTGGTTTAGGTGTTACGGTGTTGCGGCTTATTTTTAAGGTTGTCCGTCCTCTCTCTCTGCCATGCAATCCTCTTGCATGTTGGGTCGTCAGTGACCTTCAGGATCTATTGGTTTCGGGCTTCCGGTTACCAGTTTTCAAAACTCAAAAGCTTGAGTCCCAGCAGCTTGTCAAAAAGTATCTTCTGGATGGCGGCAGGATTGCGGAGGTCTGCCTCGGAGTCACAAACCGGCTGCAGGAACAGATGGGGGTGGGGGGGGTTCTCAAGAGGATGTATTCAGGGCCCCCTTCACGCATGCATATGATAAGTATTTTAAGTATCCTGTAAGATCCTGCAGTGTTGGACCCTGAAAACTTCAACCAATCATACTCTGATGAAAACAGAAATAATAACAATGAGAGTAACACAGAACAACTACATAATAATACAATACTGTTAAGTGACGTTCATGTCGGCAAAACTGCGGCACGGAAGCTTGCAGACGATTCTACTCAAGCAGGTTTGGTTCTCGTAGTTAGACAAGAAATTTACTCAAAACTCGGAATTGCATCGGCTTTCTTGTCTGTCTCGGGTCAATCATGGGTCGTAGTTACACGAGACATATACTCGACAGAAGCTCGCTAGGTCGCTGCAAGCCGAACGAGAGGCCCATACTACACGTAGTGCATGGTTGGGATAGTGTTAAAAATTGAAATTGCTATTTCTTACTATTGAGTTTTAGGACCCATATACATGTAAAATGTCACCAACTATGACAACACATCTTCAAACAAAAGCTCAAGACCGAACAAACAAAGCGGAACCCGTCTGCAAAAGCAAACTCCCAGCAAAAATCCCGAACACTCTCTAAGGCCCTAACCCCTAACACAACCCCTAACCCCGCTCCTAAACCCTAGACTCGACGCCGACGCCTCCGTGAATGATTGCCCTCCCCCTGGTGTTTCGATCGAATGGCCAGGAGGTCAACGTCCGCTGCATCGCTGGGTCGGATGTCCAGGCAAAGGACTTGCAGCGGCTTTGCCGCAGCCTCTGACACTTGTCGATAAATCTACAGTACCCCTACTGTGCCTGGAGTCGGGGGTGTATGACAGTGGTTTCTTTTCCAAATATATGTATATATATGTATGTATGTTTGTCTGTATGCATGTATGTATGTACGTAACTCTGTATGTGGGCATATATATATATATTATATATATATATATATACACATAAGTAGAAGGGGGATTCAGCAATGTTCTGCGGTCGGGTTTAACTAGGAGTTGTTGGGAGCGCATCCGCGGCCCATGGCGTGGGAGCCTGCCAACTTTCTTGGGTCCACTATCATACTGGTGATGATATAAATCTTGCATTACTTTAAGGACCCTAAACTATGGGAATTATGTATATTCCTTACTATGGGTAATGAAGGATTTATAGAATCAATCGTATTATACCATGTTGTAACATGATATGTTGCATGTTACGGCATTATTACGGATTACCAACAGGGCAAGCATGGAGATTCGGGATAGAGAGCACAGTATATAGTTATAGGCTTCTCACCCAGAACGGTCATTCAGGCCCCTTCATCAAGCATTGTGGAATGCTCGCTGTCACCGGGCCGCATTTTTTGGAGCTCTCGCTCGGACTGGTTGCAAAGATGCACGAATTGCCACCCGAAAAATCTTTCGAGTGAACGGCCTTTGTCCCGGCTTTGAAGCCATGAAACCAAACACTCCACTGAATTTGCCACTGCATCGAATTAATCAGCTGCACAAATGAAGAATGCATTTGCTGAGTGTGGGGTTTGACATCAGCAGTTCTTTTGCGAAGGCAGAGCGGTCGCCAATCCGGGTCTGTAGCTTCAGTGGGACCCCACGCTCCAGCCGGTCAACGTTGAAAAAAACAACGAGTTTCTTCTGACTTGGTTCAGTTCCTATGCCAGAGAGCATGTGCACGCATCAGAAATCTGGGAGGGATTCCGCTCATCAACCACCATCATGCACTGAGACGCCTCGTCCGCCTGAGACAGAAAACGCTGAGGAGCGATGAGGCCGTGCTACTAGCCTCACCGAAAACAATCGGCTTACTCGGATGGTTCAGCGTGATGGGCCGTAGCCTTGCCTGCCATGAAACTACGCACTTCCTTGCCGTGTGCCGCTTCCTTTTCGAAACGCACAGTGCTTCGGTTGGTCGCAAGGCTTTCGCATTCAGGGTGGGGACGTCTGGACTCACAGATCCCCAAAGCACGACAAGCTACTAGTAGTACCGTAGCTCAGGCAGCCGACGTCCCAAAGCCAAGGGGCCAAGAGCAGCAGCGAGGGTAACAAAGCCGAAGAGGCCGCTGCAAAGCCTTTGCCCGGGACGGGGAGCGACCACCTGGGTTCCAGGTTAGCGGAAGCTGAGGTCATGGGACCTTGTGCGGGGTGGCCAAAGTCGAACTCGGCAAGGGGGGGGGTTTTGTGGCGCTGTGGTCGAACTTTACACGTCTACTGAAGGCCAACAATCACAATAATCGTAATCACAAGGCCTTTCAACAGATCCAGCTGCTCCTTCTAATGCAATCCAAGAGATGTACACAGTACACCATGCCACCGCTTAACCTATCGTAAGCACAGGCACTCGCCGGAAGGGACCCACTGGTGCGTTTGCGTGCAGCGCTCCGTGCGCAGAAGCTTCCCATCCTTGGGGGGCATCGATCAGTGGATGGAGGCACGATTAGGTTTGATTTGACACTCACACTCGGACAAGCCTGGCAAGGTCTGCAGCGATACTGGGTCAACGATCGTTTACTGTATACTCGGCACAGATCACCAAGCAAAGCAGGGTGTTTTCAGGCAAGGCCTTGACACGACAACCACAGATTGTTGTTGAGGGTTTAGGGTTGACAAGGTGAATGAATGACAGGGGCCATGCAATCAACCACTAAAGCCATAAAGCCGGCCGGAAGTTCAGGCCCAGATTCAGCACCGATCGAGAGGACGGTGTTGGGGCACATGTCCCGTCGTCGCATAGTGAGGCTGTAGTAGATGCTTTGGGCCTTTCAAGGTCTTGGTGAGTACTTCTGTGCGAAGCAACTTTCACGGCATGATAGTCCAAAGGACTTGCAGGTCTGAGCTACAGCTGCTGAGCTAAGCTACTACGATGACAGAAGACATGAAGCCAGGTGCATCGACTGAACCGACAGCATGCGGCACATTACACAGAAGCCCGAAACACCCGAGGCATGACTGATCGGAAGCGGGTTAGTGCAATCTCGGCCAGTAAGTCGCTTGCGGAAGCCGCCGAGGGCTGACTCACCGACATGATGGCGTAGATGGGCACTCCCTGTCGCTGCTTTGAGGATCTTTGAGGTGTCTAACTCGAGAGGTTTCCCGACTTGGGGGACTCCTTACGTCGAGGATGAGCATCTACCTGACATGGGAACTGCCCACATTTAGCTTTGCTTCGCCTGGCAGTGCGTGTTCCGCTTGAAGCGCCCCGAAGATTTGTGCACGGAGAACTTCTCTTGCGCATGCTCCTGCAAGGCTTGGGAGGTGAGGAGCGTCGAGGAGACCTAAATGCGCTTGAACCGTACAGGTGCGATGTCTGGGAGCTTTCTGAGAAGAAGACTGGGCGCTTCGCCTTTGGTTTGCACTTGTCCCTTTTGTTGCGTCTCCATGGCTTCTGAAGCCCTTGCTTGCGTCCTCAACCAGAATGCCGAACATTTCTCCATTGCCTCAGTATGCACAAGTATGCACAGGGAAGCAATGGAGATCTTCCTACTTGCTGCAGAAGGAAGCAATGGAGGGTGTTCGGCAGCCAAGATGCCTAGTTCTGCCGTATGGAATCTTTCGGAAACCAGCCCTAAACAACACGGCTTGCTCTTCTTGTTTGATACATCGGCAGAAAGACAAGTCGTTGCAAAGTCGGATGAGCGGCTTAGGCCCAGCCAGATCCAGTCCAGAAGTCGACTTTGGGTTCCCGGCTCCATAGGCAATGGGCACCTGAGACGTTCTCGGATGTCTTTCTACTGCTCAGTACGCCGAGAATACACCTCGTTCCGGGATCCCGAATCCGAGAGGACGGGCTTGCGGGAATCCGTCTGGGCTGGGATGAGCCGTTGTTCAGTAGAGGGGCCAAGGTACTCAACTCAGCGATCTGAGGTAACATGGGCCCTTGCACTGCAAAGCCCTGCTAGAATCAGGTCCAAGCACACAGCCGTCACCGTAGTCGGATCAGAGGCAGCCGAATCGCGATTCCTGAAAGGGAGGTGCGGCCAACGTTTAGTAGGGAGACCCCGCAGGATGGCTTATGATCAAGGATGCAGCCTCGGAGCGTGCCGAACAATCTGTCTAAGTCTATGGAGCACACGAAGACTTCTGCTCTCCCCTTGTTTGTTTTTACAACTGGGCTCTCGCGAATGCCAGCATCAATGAACCGTGTCGAAACTTCTCGCAAGCAGGTTTCAGGATGTGCGACTCGCAGTCCACGGCCCCTTCCAGGTCACACAGCTCGATGTTCTTCGTCCCTGCCTCCGTTGCAAACTCTTTTTGCAGCTGCCATTAGTACTGTCATCGAAAACTACTATTATTACTATGGTTATTCTTACAAGTATTGCTGTTGTCATCATCATTTATAACTCCTGTTATTCGTCTTAGTATTGTTTATTATTCTTCTTGGGTTTTTTAGCACTCGCACTCGACTCATTCTTCATATTCTTCTTAACACTAGTCGTATTATTATTGTTATTATTGTCATTATCATCTTTCCGAGCCTGTACAGGCCACACTGACGTGATCGGCTGACACAGGCAAGTCGCCTTGATGGAGAAGAGCTGCAGGAGCCGGTTGCCAGCCAGGATGAGGGTACGCCCAGAATGTGCGATGCCGAAGTGCGAAATGCAGGCACCTTCCCTTCTGAGGGTGCTATCCTGAGCTTTTCTCAGGATTTCAAGCCGCTTCCGAGTTTGGTCCTTCGTGCTTGGGGCTGGAGCAGAACTCAGAGCAGCCAAGGCTCCAGGAGGTTCACGAAAACCTTCTTGATGCTGTGCAGGCGCATCCGGTTATCCCGGGAAACGGAATAAATGCTGATCATCAGCCAGGGGCAGTCCCTCATTCTGCCCAGCCTGAGTAGCCACGGGACCGTACTGGATGAGGATGGCTGAGAACTCTTTGCAGGGTTTATAGACTCTAAGGTTTAAGGATAGGGTTGCGGGAGTACAAGGATTTCCATATCGGAGTCCTTAGATTCAACTCGTCTGCAGCTTCAAAGAAGGCAAGCAACACTGCCAGCACGTGCTCGCCAGGCTGTCCCACATGCGGAAGGAAGCAGAGCTGGTAGATCTGGCACTTGCGCGGCGGAGAGAAGCAGACCTGAAATTAGCAAAACAAGTGCCCTTTATACAAAAAATGAACAGAGTTCTGTGGTATGCTGTAATGAGTAATGTATTTATCTAAGGGCTGCAAGGGGATGTTGGACGGCAGATTGTAGAAGCTACGTCAGCCACCTGCATATCCCAGCGGTGCCTTCTGTACATGGAAGTCTAGCCCTGGGATCCTTCAAGGCTTTTATAAGGGATGTATGATAGGGTTTGATATTAGGGGCATTTATCATTAGAATGGGGGTTTTCGGGCCAGTTTGCAAGCTGTCTGCAGGAATGGAGTTGAATTACTCCGAAGATCCTTCAGGTATATACTCAGCAAGGAGCCACCGATGACTCTAGGGGCCTTAATATTTGGAATAATGTTTTTTGGGGCACATTCTACTCCAGTAATCGTACTATATAATTTTATAGTATAATATAACTATAGAATAATGTTGGTCATTATGCAATTCACTAGATTGCTCCCGCATTCTCCAGCTTCCCACCTCCGCCAGCACCGCGGGCCGCCGAAGGTCTGAGCTGGTCCCAGCCCACTTCCTTGGCAAAGGGAAGCCTTTGTAGCATCCCCCGTAGGTTTATAAGGTGGTTTCAGGGATGAGGTTTCGTGTCGTAAGCCTCATAGAGTATAGTACCCCCTAGGTTTAGGGTTTAAGGTTGAGGGTTCAGGGTTGCGTGTCATAAGCCGTATGGAGTATAGTACCCCTTCAACAGGGGAGCCTTGCAGCGTCGCCGACTTTGAGTGCGGGCAGCTTTTGCAAGGTCCGGCCCACTGTGCTTGAAACAAGCTGCAAAATACTACCACGTAGCTACCATGCACGTTATTTAGGGTTCAGGGTTTAGGGGTATACTCATGAAGTCCACACTGCACCAACAATGTGTGCTGGCACAGTGAAACCAGCACAGGAGCTCGATCCACAAGAGCTCGAACAGCACTGCCATCGCAGTCCCAATGTCTGACATAACACTGACACAACAAAAAAGCGTCCGAGTGGCCAGATCATGATAGTGTGCTCATTGCCAGTGAGCTCGCAGTGTGCGAAAAGTCGGGTGTTTTCCGGATGCTGGCACATGCAAACAATTCCTGAGGCGAGGTGGCAGTCATTGTTTGCATCAGCTATTGCCTGTCACCCAAAAAAAGTCATCGGAACATATCGAAGCAGCTCACAGTCAGGCTTGCCGAGCCATGCCTGCTCTATACGCTGGAACGCCAGCCCTGCCAAGCGGCGCTTGAACTCGGGGCTTCGGGAGACCGGGATGGCCGTGCCGGTGTCGCAGCCTAGGGGCTCAATCGGATCGTGGTAAGCGGCTGCGTGGGTTGTGAAGGAGATTCTTGGAAGCTGGAATCAATCTTGCAGGGTCTTGAAAGACACGGACACGGCAAGTCGTGGAGACACAACCAGGCCGGGAATCCCTGCAAACCCTTTTTCAGCACGGACTGAGATGCCGGCCAGCGCCTATGCAACCCTCACCCCCGCTGAAGGCAAGCCCTAAACCCCAAACCGGACTTGGGCAGGATCCTTGGCTTCTGTTGTCATAGTCACGTGCCCTATCCAGACGAAGCCAAAGCTGGCAACGGTAGAAACAGGTAAGCGTATCATAGGGTACTATGGGACTTCGGAAAATGACCCTGATATCATCACTGGCTGTTGTCTTGCCCATCTGTGCGTGCACAACCTTCCTGAGTGGCGCTAGTCTGCTCTTGCCTAAGGAGACATGGAGGGTCCTGATTAGTACTTTCCGCTTCTGAGGATTGTCCTGCTCTCACAAGCGATCATTGCTGAACCAACATTCTACAGCTGGGCCGCAATCCACTCGGCGGACGTCGCAGAGTGCCGCCTCGGCCGAATTGCCGAGGAAGGCGCCGCCGCAAAGCTTGGCACACTTCCTTGTTTTCGGCTTCGAGACATGCTCGACATGCGGCAAAGGCTCTCAAGCGATCGTTTTCTGACGACCCCCACATAACTTGCAGGGCCTGCGCCCATCAGCACTGGTCCCTGGAAAAGCCCCCCTATCATGTGCTGCAGCAACCTAGGGGTGATGTTGACGCACGCGCCTGGGCTCTTCAGAGTCATGTTCGTCAGGTCACGAGAACATGTATACTCGTAATGTATATATATATATATATATATGTATTTTTGAATTTATACTCATATTTCTATTTATTTGTTTATTGTTTTATATGTATACACATATCTCTCTCTCTGTATATGTACGTATGTATGTATGTATGTATGTATGTATGTATGTATGTATATAAACAGCATATTCTAGTATCCAAAAATATACTGCAACATATAGTATCATAGAATATTAATGGCAATTGTTTTGCTGACGAGCTTCAGCACTCCGTCGTGGAAATAAAGCACACTTTCCTCGCAAGGAAGGAGGGTCAAGGGCTTGACGTGCCTAGGTGCTCTGGGGAGCTGCATTCGAGTCCCCTGTAGCATGCTATGACGTACTGGATGCGATACTATGCTATAATATGTTGTAATATATTATAATAGTATACTATAATACCCTCTAAATAAATGAATAAATAGACTATATATATACATACATATATATATATTTATTTATTTATTTATTCATTTATAACAGTATACAAGCTGATGTGAAGATTGCTTGGGCAAGGCTGCATGGTGGAGCCGAGCGAGCAGTGGGACTGCAAGATCGCGACAACACCCTGACTTCGCGCCTTCGCATCCTTCTGCCACAGGCGCTCGTACTCCTGTCATCAATGCGGTCTGCAAACACAACTTTGAGAAGCTGTAAAGGAAGGAGGTGCGCGAGCAGTGGCTCCTTCATGTTGAATCTGCGTAATTGTGCAATCGCCAGAAGGCCAAACATAAAACAGTAGGCTCGTTACCGAAGGTTGGCTTCGACACAGGTTCTGCACAACCACCTACAAAACTGGCCAGGACCTGACTGAGCCACTCAGACAGTGCCTCTATGCTTTCACATTGCACTGCGCCCCCGGCACGACACTCCGAAGGTCCATGGGAAATTCCAAACCCCGCAACCTTCAGCTGTAAGGGCTTCCTGCCGGCATGGACAGACCAGTGCTTCCAAACTGTCATGCGAAAGCGACGGTCTGGTTTGCCTCTCAGTGCTCAAGTCTCCAAGTTGAGTCTTGGATGTGACTGTACGGCGCCTATTTTTAAACACCCGGACATTTAAACAGCTTAAACAATTGCACTAGGTCTAACAGCAGTGTCTTTGGGCCGCCCAACTTTAAAACATCCGGAAGTTTTGCTTCGTTCCCAGGCCACCTGCCTTCCATCCTTTGTTGCCCTCCAGCCCTCCAGGCTTCCAGCCTGCCGGCCCCTCCAACCTCCAGCCCTGCAGCCTTCAATGCAGGCCCCGCCAGTCCTCCCGCCTTCAAGCTTTCATTCTTTCTTCCTTCAAGCCCTCCAGCCTTCCGGTGCTCCAGCCTTGCAGCCTTCTCCAGCTCTCCAGCTTTCCAGCCTGCCTGCCCCTCCAACCTTCCCGCTCTCCCTTCAAGCTTTTCTTGCTTGAGGGCCGGAGGGCTAGAAGAGGGCTGGAGGGCTGGAGGGGCTGGAGGGCTGGAGGGCTGGAAGGCTGGAAGGCAGGTTGGAGGGCTGGAGGGCTGGAAAGCTGGAGGGCTCTGGAGGCCTGGAGGCTGGAAGGCTGGAGGGCTCTGGAGGAGGCAGGAAGGCAGGTTGGAGGGCTGGAGGGGCTGGAAGGCTGGAGGGCCGGAAAGCTGCAAGGAAGGCTGGGAAGGCTGGAGGGCTGGAAGGCTGGAGGATTAGGGCTGGGAGGGCTGGGGGCTGGAGCTGGAGGGCTGGAGGGCTTGGGGTGAAGGAGGGCAGTAGATATTTAAACCTCTGGATTTAAACAAGTCATGTACACTACCTCTGTCATCCTTGGGCCTGGGCCGCCCTCCACATATTTAAAAAGCGTCACCGTAGTCTCTGCATCCTACACTCGCTCCACCCTGGGAGACAAAACCCCCGAGTATCACCAGGCTGGAGCTGAGAAAGCAGGATGCTTAGAAGTCCAAATCAAAGTAGTATTGGTAATGTAGGGGTTCTTCATAATTAGAACAGGGTTTTGAGGTATATTATCCCAGAACTATGATAAGGACCCCCCCTCCCCCCCAAATAGTAGAGGTACTTATTAAGGCCCCTATAGTAAATATTTAAGCCTCCTTGTTATCAGGTGAATTGCACTTGCTCTGAAAATCCCCTCGACCCTTTTTTGCATCAGGACTTGTGCAATCGCCTGAATGTCCCCTCGACCCTTTTGCGTCCGGTCTGCAGCGA